CACACACACCTTTCCTGCATTAAATAAAAGGAAAAACATAAGGAAGCGTGAAAAGGGGACTTTGGAATGAGTGTTAAAGTCTGAATTATCATCTAGGACTTTCTTATTTAGAGTCCCAAAGCCCCTCAGTGTGGGGACCCTGATGCTAGGTTTTCCTTTAAAACAGTAACTGCCCAGAGGGCTTGTGAAACCCACGGTGCTGGGCGCTATCCCGGAGTTTCGGATTCAGTGGGTCAGGGACGGGGCCTGAGAATTTCATTTGTCACAAGTTCACGCTGAGAAACGCTTCTCTAAGAAATGAGAGTAGACAAGTCAAGGAGCCAGGGGCCCACTTACTTCCGTGAGCACTCTCATCGTAGAAAACTCTCCAGGGCACGACTCTGAAGAAAAACAGGTGAAATCCTCATGCTGGGAGGACCCGGGCCTACACGGGTTTAATTTTCAACTGCACTGGTCTCCCCGCAGCTTCCTGATTTTAACTGGTGGGTGTCCTCACGTTGGGATCCTACCATCTCTTAGTTTACTCTCCTCTCTCCCAGGGCCAGGCCGAGCGGACACGCACCCATGGGCCCTGGCCTCGGGGAGGGCCCTGACCAGGTTGACTGAGAACTCATGAATATACATATGCCGTTGACTCAGTGATAAAGGACAATATCTCCACGCTTTGGCCTTTGGTGAACACGGTGTCCCTGAGACCATTGTATTACTTACGGCCTCTTCGGTGGGGCCACAACGCCCAGTCATTAGACATCATGAGTGACCCACAGTCACCCCATCAGTGGGGCTGACCTGTCGTCTACGTATTAGCTTCAGCTTAGCTGTGGCACAGGAGCAAGGAAGGAAAAAATACGGGGAGGTAACGCTTGGTGATCAGGTTCATTTAGCGTTTGAAGCCGATGCGAATGTGTGACCAGGAGTGAAAACTTCCTGTCCTAAGGCCAGGAGGCCTCCTTAGCGGTTCAGGCAGGTCTCCCCTTCCTCTTGGCTCCCAGGACCAAGCCCTAGGGGGGTCAGGGAGACGTGGCTTAATCGTGGCTTAGTGGCAGGGTCTCTGTCCATGGTGCTGCCCGGGGGGGGTGAGGTGTTTGTGCATTAGAGGCGGCTACTGCTGCTTTCTCCCGGCTCTTTTTGGAATAATAATACATGAAATAGTTACCTCAGCCCACGGAAAGGGGGTACCCCTCAGAATAGCGTAGCCCTTGTCTTAGGGAGCTACAAGGGAAGAGATTATTAGGTCTTGCAAACCAGGGGAGCCAGAAGGCAAAAATGAACCGCCCCCC